ATAAAACTGAAATCTACGTCTGAAACCAAAACACCCAACGAGTGTTGTAGTGAGTTTATGCTATGTCAACGTAGCTAACTGGAACGCCACTTCCATTGCTCTGTATGGTCTGGGGTAGGGTTGGCCTCAAGAGAAGCTGTGAGGGACCCGGTAGGAAAGAAGGAAACAAGTAGGCCCATCTCTGAGGCCAGCACAGGGTGCCAGGCCCTGCGGAAGCTCTGGTACGCTGCACACCCTGCTGGTGTGGGGCAGCCATGGGCTCATGTCCCCCAGCTGCTTGCTGCAGGCTCTCCTGCTTCAGTGTTTTGGACAACTCCAGAGCCAAAGGTACCTACATCTTGTGTGGGTCACTCGTGTCACTGAGTCTGGAGGAACTCATAGATGAGTTGCAGTTTGACCTCATGGGTTTCCATTTACCCTTGACCTCCTGCGCTTCACGGCCAGCTTTCCTTCCAGAGGGTGGGTCCTACCAGGTGCTCAGGCCACAGTCACCCACAGACTTCAACAGCTTCCGCAAGTGTGCAAGACTAATCTAGAATAAGTCTTCTACCCACATCATAATGGTTCTGCTCTTCTGACGAAACCCTAACCGCTCCGCAGGCTGGTAACGGACACTCTGGCAGGCTCACCCAGCGGAGGTGAGTGTGGACCTCTGGGAGTCTGGAGCACGGCTACACCATCCTTTACAGAGAACCACCTTACTTCTGAGGAACTACTTTCGGCTAGCGAAGCCCTCGCAGAGACGTCAGGCTTCACCATGGGGCACCAAGAGAAGAGGAAACCTAAGCCGCCCTGCATGGCCCACAGGCTCTCTGACCCATGAAGGGGCACTCCATCCTCAAATCAAAGCGGGTGTGTGAGAGCAGGCTCCATCCACGCCAGAAGACGTGAGCGAGCAAGGAGACCTTAGTCCTGTGCTCTGCCTCCTCCCTCAACAACCATTCACGAACGCTGCCTAATGGTTTAGTTGGATGACTGACAATAGAGAGAAACATGATTAAAAAACAGGTAACAAACAACTGGTATGCAGAAGAGGCTGTCAACAGACCTTCACAAATGGGCACATGATGTAAACAGACCTCAGCAGAAGAGGATCTTGATACTCGGATAAATACCACCACTCACTGTATCTACATCAGTCAGCCTCATTCCCCATACTCAGGTGAATACCATCACCCACTGTATCTACATCAGTCAGCCTCATTCCCCATACTCAGGTAAATACCACCACCCACTGTTTCTACATCAGTCAGCCTCATTCCCCATACTCGGGTAAATACCACCACCCACTGTTTCTACATCAGTCAGCCTCATTCCCCAGACTTCTTGTCCAAATGGGCTCATGTACATGTGGACATGATGGCAGGAGTAGAGGTTATGCATGAACTCAGCAACACGGGCTTCACTCCTGGAAATTAATCCGACTCCAGGTACTTCCGAGTACCCTACCTGCCAACAGCAGACGCCAACATCAACCTCCCCACCCCACCCCTACGCCCTGACACCATCCCTGGGATATCAGCTGGCACCTCATGGCAGGTTGTTATCACTGGTCCACTTCCATCACGAAGAGATCGTTAAAATAAATTTGCCTTCTGGGTCCACAGGGCCTTAGGGAATGTCCCGTTCTCCACAATGGAATCCCCACACCATTGCTTCTGACCAGGGAACTCATTTACAGCAAATGAAGTACACGACAATGGCTCTGTGCTCAGGAAATTCACTGACCTTGCCACAGTCTCCAGCACCCTGAAGTCGCTTGCCCAATAGGTCAAAATACACATATTTTTAATATCCAGTTAGAGTGCCAACCAACTGGTGACAGCTTGTGGGCTTGGGGGCAACAGACTTCAGAGTATCTTCTGGCAATATAGGTTTTGACTTGGTGGTACTGTTTCTCCCACAGCCCAGATTCACAGCCCAAGAATCGAGGGGTGAAACGCGAGGAGCCCCCTCTCCCTATCACCCCCAGTGACCCACTAACGAAATGTTTGCTATCCTTCCCTAAAATGCTGGACTGCACGGGTCTAAGGGCAAGACAGGGCAATGGTTTCATTAAACTGGAAGCAGAAGCTGCCACCTGGCCACACTGGGCTCCTCATGTCAGTAACAGGCAAAGAAGCGGCTCCGGCAGTGGCTGAGGTGACGGACCCCAACCGTGAGGAAGCCATTACCCCACAGTGGGATTACCCCACAGTGGGAGTAAGGAAGAACATGCAGGGGACCTGGAAGACCCCCTGAGTGCCCCCTCTGTGTTCTCACACCCTCTGATTAAAGTTAATGAAAAGTCATGGCCATCCAATACAGAAGTGCTACTGAAGGTCCAGACCTTTCAGGAAAGGAAGTCGGATCACCCACCAAGAAAAAAACCATGACCAACCAAGAGGTTTGCTGAGGGCAGCGGGAATACGAAAGGGACAGTAGAAGGAAGTGGTCGATTCTAGCCATGAACACTGACCAGGTGTGGAGACTGAACCTGTTCTAGGCTTTTCTTCCTTGTTTTGATAAGAATATAACTGTGTACACAGAAATGAATTCTTCTTCCTCCCTCTCCCAGGCCCCTACCATCTCACATAAGAAGCGCTAACAGGAGTCAACCTTGTATTAATATCTTGGAATCTGGTTTACAGGCTCTAGAAGAGAATGGATGTCATCCAAATGTTGGACAAAGGGGCTCTGTCTGCTCTGTGGGGAGTTGGGGATTTTCTGTCACCTGGGTGATGGTGAATTATGTTAGGCCCAAGCATGCGCTGCTCGTCTCTACTTGGAAACTCAGTGTGGCTAAAAGAGGTATGCATGGGTACCAAGTTGACCAAAGATAAACTGTGGTGGTTTTCTACTGTATCAACCTAGCAAGGCTGGAATCACACTTCCCAAAATTCCCTTTCTTAGATGATTCTGGGCTAGGGTGGCCCTGAGAGAAATCTGGGAATGATGTGGAGGGCAGAGAGAAGCAGTGGCCCCAGACTGCAGGTTGGCGCGGGGACAGGGACTGCTGCAGCTCACGTGGGCTGTTGCCGGTCACCCGTGCCATCAGGAGAGACGCAGGCTCCCGTCTGTCTGTCCCTCCTTTTCCCCAATCCTCATCCAGCTTTCTTCCCAGCTGCCAGCCTGACCAGACACAGCAGAAACTGCCTGTGCTTCTTCCAAGGAAGAAGTTCTCACAGCTGCACACGGCCTCATTCCTTCAATAAACTCCTCCCTCCGTGACATTTGAAACGGATTGGCTTCTCCGATGAGACCACAACCCACATAGGTTCGACAAAACCATCTCAAAGTTCCTATCTAACTGAGGGCCGTACGATCCTGAACTGAGCAGACAAGTCAACCCCCGGCTATTGCTCTGCAAGGGAGGGGCGGCTGTGTCCTGGGGCCATCAACGGAGCGTCCCACGGCAGACTTGTGATTGGAGAAGCCACTGTGTGCCATCACTGCTGTCTCCTCATTCCCCAGGCCTGAGTTCCCCGGTCCCCTCTTCTTCCGGACTCAGCGGCTGAGGAACAGCACCCCTGAAGGGGCCGTGACCCGCCAGCTATGTGCAGCTCCTCCGAATGAAAATGACCAACAGCCCCCAAAATCAAACAATTCCCGTTTCCAGCCTTGAAAGTACCCTGCAGGGGGAAGGCCAGAGACAAACGTTCCAAATGCTAGAAAATACCCTCAAGAAGAAAACATACTTGTCTTTACTCACTGCCATTACAAAGAAAGGAACCCAGTGAAGTTCTGAGTTGTATCAAGACATTTAATTTGTTTTCTCATTAATCTACTGTCTTCTTAAAGAGTTGATAAATTATTCTCAAAACCGAAAAATCCATGACCACCTTATCAGAACTACCCCTTTTCTCATCCAGAGCACAACAACTGTGTATTGACACTCGGCCCAGTCTATGCCTCGACTGCTCTAGAAGCTGATGAGACAGGCGAGGAGGAGCAGCCGGCGCCCTCAGGGGCATGCAGTCCAGCTGGCCTGGCTTCTCCACAGCCCTTCTCCGCACTCAGAGAAGCATGCCAGCAGGGGAATCTCCTGTAACAACCTCCTTCCAGTCATCAAGACAGATCCTGCTTTGGTGGAATAGCTGCGCTCGTAGACTGCCGAGGAGAGAAAGATCTGAAATGCAAAGTCTCTATGTGGCGGGTAACAGTATAACAACGTTGGGGAAAAGGAGAGTATTTCCCTTAGGAGACAGATAAGGCCTCCTGAGTACAATCAGCAACCACTCTGTCACTTTCCACTTACCTACCTTTCATTTTTAAAACGCAAGCTGGATTCCGTAAGTTGACATACATTCAGGTATTCAACTTTCTTATGAGATGGTAGCTCCCTGCCTGACAGATACTGAAAGGAGACATGGAGCCACCAATTCAAAAATGAATTCCGGAGATTCAACATCAGCACGTCACGCTTCATCTGAACTGGAAGCTGGGTACTAACAAACAGGTACTTCTGAGTGCCACCAACAGGCCACTAACTGGGGCCAGGAGAACCAGGGCTTAGCAAAAATCATCTAATAGAACCTGTACCCCAAAAAAAGAAAAAACCAAAAGTCTATGACCAAGATGCCTGTTTGTGTTGTACCCAATTATTTCCAGCGCGATAGCCAGCCTGGTGGAAACTGCTCTAATCGTGGCAGGATGGGTGCAGCTCAAGAAGGTCAAAGACTAAAGAAGTGGGGGCTGTAGCACACACCAAAAAATATACCACAAATTGTCATTTCTCTTCTGCAAAGATGATGCCTGTTGCCACAGCAATAAGCGTTCACTACCTTTGAGTCACAAGGAAGACAGCAATTGGAATAGAGGCTTGTACATGAGTGTCCTTCCTTAGTCTTGGTGTCCTTCTCAAAACCTTTCCTGTACTGACAACCTCTTTGGGTTCAAAAAGCACTTGGCCCGTGGTGGTTTATAATGCCCAGTTCCCCTTCCTACCCAGAAAGGGGACAGGCTCTGCAACAGTCCTGCCAATCACAAAGGCAGCGTGCTGGGCGGGGCTGGCCACTCACTTGATGTGATGTATTCCGGAGCTTTTCCGGGGCTCAGCGGCACAGCTTCCTCATAATAACCTTCTGGGAGGGAGGACGTTGGCAATGGCGGAGGCCCACTGTCAGGAGGCTGAGGAAGAAAGGAAAAGCGACACAGAAATTAGCGTGACAGAAGGAACTTCTGGATTTCCAATTAATGAATGTGGCCAGTCTTTTCCTCTTTCCTTTGTAAAGTCTTCGGAAAAGAGAACCTCATCCTACAAAGAGGTTTGGAAGGCGGGTCCTGATGTGTCTCTCTTACTTTCCTGCGTGCATTCATGCCCCAGCCCCGGCCACATGCCGTCCGGTCCACACCAAATCTCCGGGTTCAGCGTGTGCAGCAGTCTCACTGGAGTGTCCACGACACGGAATTCCCCTTCCGCCACGTAGGACTGGGCCTGTTCAGATGCAGCTGCCCCAGGGGTCTGAGACAGCGTCTGTGTTCTCCTTTATCCCCACACACACCAACCCTCGCAGGCCTCAGACGCAGACTCTGGGACTCCATGGCCCTGCCACAGGCGGTGGGCTCCTGGGACACAGATGCTCGGGTGCACCCAGCACTCATTACAGAGTGAGCTGGTGAGCCACACTGGCTGAGTGCATGAGTGAGGCCTGCCCACATTCTCACTATATCCCTACTGTGTGCTAGGAAAACTTCAAAAAAAAAAAAAATCAGCTGGGAGCCACTCTCTAAAACAAAGTAGAAGTTATTCTCCAGAGATGGAATCTACTCCTTATTAAAACCAATCATGTCACTTTTTTTTTTTTTTTTTTTTTGAGTTGGAGTCTCGCTCTGTCACCCAGGCTGGAGTGCAGTGGCGTGATCTCTGCTCACTGCAGGCTCCGCCTCCCGGGTTCACGCCATTCTCCTGCCTCAGCCTCCCGAGTAGCTGGGACTACAGGCGCCCACCACCACGCCTGACTAAGTTTTGTATTTTTAGTAGAGAAAGGGTTTCACAGTGTTAGCCAGGATGGTCTTGAACTCCTGACCTCGTGATCCGTCTGCCTCAGCCTCCCAAAGTACTGGGATTACAGGTGTGAGTCACCGTGCCTGGCCCATCACAATTTTTTAACAAACTCAGAGACTGAAACGCTCTCTGGTTGTGAAGCCACAGCCTTAGAATATGGACAAGCTGGGGGCTCACTCCATGCCTCGGGACAACCTACATCCCACCTGGCCTTTAGGACTCTGCTGGGGTCCCCTCTTTTCTTAAATGTTCCTGATGGCTCTGAACCACCCCAGCCTCTCCCTCCTAAGACCACCTACAGGACTTGTTGGTGTGTCTCTCACTGGTTCTTCTGCCAACAGAGGCGACTGAATGGCAGGAAAGCCAGCATTCACCCAGCATCTGCGATCTGCCCAGCACTGTGCTAGACACTTCTGCACTGGCTACAGGAACGTCAATCTATCCATGCAGGAATCCTTCAGGCAACGCATTCTATTACACTATATTTTACAGATACAGAAGTTGAGGCTCAGAATCTAAATCTGCTCAGACACTAGTAACTGCCAGCTGGAGTTTTCAAACACCAGGTCTGTCTGTTAGAGACCTTTTTAATATTCATATTCTCTCTCTCCCCACTTTTTTGTATGAACAGCATGCAACAATTTCCCACTACCTAGATTCTGTAAACAAGCTGGGAAGAGGTCTGTCACAAGGAATGGAACACAGCAGAGGCCCCAAATTAAAATCTACTCAGTTACAGTTCCAAGTAGAACAAGGTTCTATTGAAAGTATGGGGCTGTTGTGTTTTTTTAATGTAAACTCTCCAGAAAGTGCAACTCCATCGCTTTCCATGTAAGTCATCTCTGAAGCCAAGAAGTCCTTTGTGAATGACTAATCACCCACTGCAGACTCAACCCACTCCTTCCTCTCACCAGATAAAGAAGACAACTCACTCCAGACCATCTGCACAACATTTCTTCAGGGACTTACAGACAGTTACCTCCCTCCCGCCCCCAGTCCTTGTTCCCGAGGCTAAGTAACTCCAATTCCTTTGCACTCCTATCAGAAGGCTGGCTTCCCAAACTGTCATCATAGTGTGGCATTAGGCTGGACCATCTCCAGGTCCTTCATATCTTCCTACAGAGGCAACAGAACCTGACACATGGGGCCCAGCACCAGGCAAGGTCTGTACAGGAGTCCATATCCAAGTTAAAATCTCTGCTGGCTGCTTTTGGAAAACAGCTGCTTGATTAACTGAGTATCTTTTATTCCTGAGACGCCGCGTATTCCAACCTCCTTTTAGCATGGTCAAACAATCAAACTACTCACGTCCTGGAAAAGCATGACAAATAGCTGAATCAAACAAACATTTGTGAACTAGTACAGGTCAGACTCCTTTCCTCAGTGCCCCAAGGAACTTACTCTCTGAATCGATGGGGTTCTGAGTAGACGCTTTCAAACCCTATTGGTGGTCATGCACTTGGCACAACCTTTTGAGTATGCCCTTAGATCCAATAATTCCACTTCTAGAAACATATGTCAGAAGGGTCAATTGGTCACATGAGAAAAAAACCACATAAGGATGTTCAATAAAAGTTTGTTGGCCAACAGATACATGAAAAAATGCTCGTCATCACTGGCCATCAGAGAAATGCAAATCAAAACTACAATGAGATACCAATCATTAAAAAGTCAGGAAACAACAGGTGCCGGAGAGGATGTGGAGAAACAGGAACACTTTTACACTGTTGGTGGGATTGTAAACTGGTTCAACCATTGTGGAAAATAGTATGGCGATTCCTCAAGGATCTAGAACTAGAAATACCATATGACCCAGCCATCCCATTACTGGGTATATACCCAAAGGATTATAAATCATGCTGCTATAAAGACACATGCACACGTATGTTTATTGCGGCACTATTCACAATAGCAAAGACTTGGAATCAACCCAAATGTCCATCAGTGACAGACTGGATTAAGAAAATGTGGCACATATATACCATGGAATACTATGCAGCCATAAAAAAGGATGAGTTCGTGTCCTTTGTAGGGACATGGATGCTGCTGGAAACCATCATTCTCAGCAAACTATCACAAGAACAGAAAACCAAACACCGCATGTTCTCACTCATAGGTGGTAACTGAACAATGAGATCACTTGGCCTCTGGAAGGAGAACATCACACACCAAGCAGGGCCTATTATGGGGGGGTGGGGGGGATGGCATTGGGAGTTATACCCGATGTAAATGACGAGTTGATGGGTGCTGACGAGTTGATGGGTGCAGCACACCAACATGGCACAAGTATACATATGTAACAAACCTGCACGTTGTGCACATGTACCCTAGAACTTAAAGTATAAAAAAAAAAGAAACATCACATTTAAAAAAAAGCCCTTAAAAAAAAAAGTTTGTTTAGTAAAATCTAAAACAATCTAAATGTTCAAGAGAAGAATGCTCAGATGTACTGCTACATCCAGACAGACATTTAAAAGGCCAGTGCATGTGTATGGCCATTGACTTTACTAACCTCTAAGAGATACTGCTGAATGAAAGAACACAGGTGTACTATGACCCCTCTACGTACGAGGTGAGTGTCTGTGCTTACATACACACAAAGGCAGAAGGTCCTTCACCAAGAGTGCTCCTAGTGGTTCCTCTTTCTATATGCAATCTGGAACGCTTGCCTTTTCTGCATAGGATGACATTTTAAAAATCATTTCCAAAAATAAAACCACTTTCATTTTGAAATAATACCCCCTCAGAAAATAATACTGCTAGAGAGTCGCTCCACTCTCAATACCACTTATCGTTGAAATCGACCACAGGGGTTTCAGACACTTCAGGCTTGTTAAAGTCAAACAGGAGAAGGGGCGAAAAGATGAGCAAACTGTCACTTACCTCCACTGCTTTCAGAGCATCAAGTCTTTCCAATCCTTTCCAATATATAAGAACTCACTGAAAGCACAAGTAACGGAATTCTAAAAAGTACACAACAGGGAAGGCAGGTTTCCCACAGGGGCCATGGGGAAGCAGAAGCCAGGCAGGAAGTAAGAGAGTCGGGCGAAGGGAGGAAGACGCAGGTGCACAGCCACTCAAATCCAAGGCCAGCTTGTTCCTGCACCTCTGCAACCTTGCCAAGACTCCACGTCCCCATTCCCTCACCTAGAACAAGGGCATCGTGTCAGAACAACCTCCAGGGCCCACCCCAGCTCTGAGAGTCCAATTCCAGCATTCTCATAAAGTTACAGGTCCACAGACAACAAAGCCAACTTTACCTCTTCCAAAATTCCATTGGCAGCCTACCCTGTGTCTTCCCAAAGGATAAAGGACATGCGAATCTCTGGGCAGAGCAAGTCCCTCAAATGTACAACTGAGTGGCAGCCCCACACACCACTGTGGAGTCACTCAACTCTCCCCCACTATCAGGAGAGATCCAGTCCGTGCACATGCCCCTAACACGGCTTGCATCTGGCCCCACTGTTTCCTGGGCTGCCACTCACAAAACACAAGCTACGGCAACAAGGATCCTTGGGCCGGGCGTGGTGGCCCACGCCTGTAATCCCAGCACTTTGGGACACCTAGGTGGGCAGATCACGAGGTCAAGAGTTTGAGACCAGCCTGGCCAACATGATGAAATCCTGTCTCTACTAAGAATACAAAAATTAGCTGGGCGTGGTGGCAGGGCTCCTGTAATCCCAGCTACTCAGGAGGCTGAGGCAGGAGAATTGCTTGAACCTGGGAGGTGGAGGTTGCAGTGAGTCAACACTGCTGCGCTGCACCCCAGCCTGGGTAACAGAGCAAGACTCCATCTCGAAAAAAAAGAAAACAAGGGTCCAAATTCTAACTACCATGGCATCTTTTGACACTTAAAAAGAAGTATGAGAAACTACCTTCCTTAGAGAACGACTGATCTTCACCCCTGCTGTGCCCTAGAAATAAAAAAGAACCCACACTGTGCCAGTGACTAGGTAACTCTCAAATTCACTAAAATATTTCTCCCTCAAATTAATACTTAAGTAAAAGCTCCCGAATCTGTTAGTTCAGAAAATCTTATCTACCTTCAGGTATTGTACATTTCTGCTGTAAGGTCTCCATCTGGCATTAGAGAAAACTAGTACTTACACAACAGCACGGTAAT